AAGTGTTACGCTGCCCTGCTGAGCGCTGGCCGACACTCTAAAACCAGGATGGAAACCACAGCCTTTCAAAACGAAATGCACAGTGCACAATAGAACAATAGTCTCAGATATTTCTCTCTCCTGAAGAATGATTGTTTATGCCAGTGAGTTCAGGTCTCCCGAATGTATGCTCCTCTGAAAGCAGAGGTTAAGAAAACAAGTAAATCATACATTTCCTATAGAATGACCGGCTTGACTGCTCTAGCACTTCCCTCGGTGGGTGATTTCCTCTGTCTAACGAGGCATTGTATTCTGGCGCTACGAGAGATGATTTGTTTATAGGCATTTTAAAGAGAGCCACAATAAAGTCCAAAGCTTCAGGGAGTCTTTAAAGAAACTGCACCCTCTCATCTGAATGGTATGTTTATGGCTTGGCAGGTGAAAAGGAAAGCTGTGCATTTTATGCACATATTCATTTAGTGAGTATGGAACAAATAACCATTTTTATCTCAGCTAATATCACTTTGACAAGGCCTTTTTTCATTATCAATTTTTTTTATTATTATTTATTTATTTAGACCACCTTCCAAAAGAATTTGGTTAATATACTGTATCAAAAATTTTTTTTTTTATTATTTATATAGAACTGTATTAAACAATTCAATTAATTCTGATAGTTAATACTACTAATGTTTAATAATATTTAAAATAATTTACTTCACATATACTTCTTAATTGTCATATATACATTTACTTACAACAAACAAAACATTAATTTTAAAATAAAAGAATGAAATATTTTAATATTTTAATGAAAAGTCACAGATAATATACCAGAGATAAAGAGAAGCCACAATTCTGAGTGGCTTGATTGCTTTCCCAAGGCGGCTACAACACTATGACACTTATTATTAATAATTATCATAATTAACAAATATTATTAAACAGTATTGAATCAACTATATAATTAAATAGTTGATTATCCAAACTGAAGGCTGAAGGCATATATGGTCACATGCATACATTTATCAGCATTTAATGAATTCAAAAATGGCTAGATTCAGAACTATCTATTTTCTATCCAAGTTCTTTTCACACATCATTGTATTTATTTAAACTTTTCTGTTCCAGCATGTGCTGTGTCATTAGAGAGGTGGCGGTGGGAGAAATTGGCCGGCTGATTGGTGTTTTACAGTCCCTAGAGAAAACAAAGGTTAAGTTAAATACCAGCGCACTGAATTATAGCAGAGCGAAATCTATTAGACAGGCCCCCTCATCCGTCAAAACTCAGTATGGACGCCAAACGCCGCTGCAACACTTCCGCTCTCCATTAAGTTCCTGCTGACCTAATAATTTAGACAAACACACTCTCGCATATACATGTTCATATTGCAAGAGGGAATGGAATATTGAGCAGTTGGTAATAAAAGCAAATTCCTTTATTTGACTCTAAAAACTAACCCTTATGCATATCAGGAGTTTATTTCTCTCTTGCAACAGTGTGCTCGGTGCATTCTCAAACCGGCCTTGATTTGCTGCCACAATCATTTCTATTTAATGGATCAATATATCAACGATGCATCGCCATGTAAGCTAATAAATGCATATTTGTTCCAGAGTCTTAAGTGCCTTAATGTGAATCTAATATGCTATTCCCATATTTGGTGAGATTTTTTAATATTGCAAAATGTCACCTCCACAGTTTCAGAGGGGTGTGAAATGTGTACCGCTATTATTACATCCAAAAAAAAGCTGACACCTACCTAGGCAAAATTCCTCTACCGCTCTCTCTCACGGCCTCCCTCTAGTTAAAGCCTTTTTATCTCATAAAATTTGGTACCAAACACACTCTCGCATATACATGTTCATATTGCAAGAGGGAATGGAATATTGAGCAGTTGGTAATAAAAGCAAATTCCTTTATTTGACTCTAAAAACTAACCCTTATGCATATCAGGAGTTTATTTCTCTCTTGCAAAAGTGTGCTCGGTGCATTCTCAAACCGGCCTTGATTTGCTGCCACAATCATTTCTATTTAATGGATCAATATATCAACGATGCATCGCCATGTAAGCTAATAAATGCATATTTGTTCCAGAGTCTTAAGTGCCTTAATGTGAATCTAATATGCTATTCCCATATTTGGTGAGATTTTTTAATATTGCAAAATGTCACCTCCACAGTTTCAGAGGGGTGTGAAATGTGTACCGCTATTATTACATCCAAAAAAAAGCTGACACCTACCTAGGCAAAATTCCTCTACCGCTCTCTCTCACGGCCTCCCTCTAGTTAAAGCCTTTTTATCTCATAAAATTTGGTACATAGTAGTTCATTCTCTCCTCCTATCTCGCTGGCAGGGCTCTAAATCTGCAGTTTGAGCTGCCATGAAAACTGAAAAGAAACAAATGTTCTGCATATGAAACGCCACAATCGTATTGTGTTGGGTCTCCCTGGAGCAGCAGAGAGTAAAAAAAAACAAAAAACACACACACACATAGAATAGTGTGATTTCAGGGTAGATTAAATCAAATGGATCTCAAGGCTACAGTTCAGAAAAAAGGAAGAAATCTGAAGATTCTGGCAGTGGCCACCTGGAGTAGTGTGATTTGGATGAGTATCTACAGGCAAAGAAAACACTGTAAACACGGTAACATCTGTCTTTTTTCCTCATTCGCGCAAATTTCCTTTCCCAACATTGTTTAAACAAACCCTCAACAGCGAATTTTTTTAAAACACTTCCTACACTGCAACTCTAAAATAGCGTCTGCACACTGTCAAAAGGTCACATTGAGGTCAAACTCATAAAAAGGCAACCAAAAAGCCTGTTGCTATGGCGAGCAATGCAGCACATCTAGCAGAAAGCGCGCACACACCCAACCACCTCCATGTTCACAAATTCAATCATTCCTTCTATAACATCTAGCCTGCTGTCCACAATGGCCGAGTGAAACAGCTTTCGGCCTCCTTTAGCTCAGTGACAATGTCCGCCCTGTCATCCGCAAAAGAGCTGGCGCAGCTGTGTTTGAACGTGCTGTCAGTCAGCATCTTTGCAGCCGGGCTCCGACGCCTCTGAAAACGAGTCACGACTGGTGCACAATGGGGGTGGAGCAGTTCCCTTTCAGCCACGGCTCTCTCACTCGCTTTTTTTTCTCTGCTGCTAAGAAACCCCTCTCGAATCATCAAATGGACATGACTGCATTCAGCTTAGGCTGTGCGCCGGCTCTGATGACAGATCAGGTGAGACAGGGACGAGATGCGGCCGCGCTTGCACTCGGGGCCCGGTTGGCTTTTACAATCCTCCGGGGACGCAGTGAGACCCCGGCGCTGCCGCAGTGGATCCGTGCCTCTCCATTTCCCCTCACTCAAGTTCCAATCCTCCCCGAGTCCTGCTAATCAATACTGTCACTAAGGCCACAGAGGTATTCTGGATTGTTTTTTCGTGCCGCACTGCAGTCGAGAGCAGCTCATTGTTCTTAAATCATACAAACCTAAGCAGCCCGCTTTGACTCGGAGCAGATTTTTAATGCGTGCCGGGGCTACTACTCTTATGCCACCCAAAGTGCCGCGTAAGCCCCCCATAAATCTCGACGTTAAGCTCGTGAACAAAGAGCTAAAATAAGGTTAACTGCTGTCTTTTCTGTGCTTGGGGAACATATGGGAAGACTCTCAGACTTGACAAGTCATTGATTAATGGTTCTTACTTGTAGTTAATAACACCACTGAGGAACGGCGGGAATCACAGCGGGAATATAAAAGTCAGGCCGTCGCTCAGAACCGGCACAAAAGTCAAACTTCCCTAAATCAGCACCATTTGGCTCTGTTTTGGCTCGCATAAACATTCACATGTCAGAAAGCAAAAGTCAAACAAGTGTATAACTTCCTCACTTCGTAGAGTCTGAGAAGTGCTGTGGCATCTAATTCGATTTGAGGGCAGCGTTTCTGTTATCGAAATGGGAGAGGTGCTTTGAGAGCTGATAGCCCTCAGAAAGTTGGAGAGGGGGCCTGTGGCTGGTCAGCAGATGAAATCAGCATGGGGTTATAAGTGTAGAAGGCTAAGAAGCCCTCCATTAGAGTCTGTGGGGAGAAAGTTGTGCAGTATAAATAGCACCCAAGCCGAACTCCCTTTGGAGAGCTTGAGAGACGAGGAGAACGCTGATAAACATCTCACTTTGGGACAGCCTATCCAAGCTTATCCAGTATTTTTGTCTTGCTTTCCAGTCAAAACATTTAACCATCCCTAAAACAAGATAAATTTACTTAAGCCAAAATGTGAAAATAAGGCTTGTTTTCAGGGAATATATTTCATTTTTTTTCTTATTCCATTCTTATTCCAGGTTTTTTTTTCTTTTCTTGTTGTATAAACCTAATATGTCTATATTTATTATTAAATAGATTAAATCAAAATATAATTTCTGAAAACAAGGAAATTTAACAATTAATTTGTCTTATATTTGTTATACATATAAATATGTATACATATACGCTGCTATTCAAAAGTCTGAGGTCAAAAATATATTTTTTTTTAAGAAATGAATACCTTAATGGAGCAAAAATATATAAAATTAAAAACAAATGACAGTAATGACATTTATAATGCTACAAAACTGTGTTTTTTCCCCCATTTTTTCTAATAATTTCTATAATTATAAGAAATGTTTCCTAAGCATTAAATTAACAGAATGATTTGACAGAATGACACTGAAGACTGGCTGCAGTAAATTCAGCTTTGCCATCACAGGAATAAATTACATTTTAAAATATACTTAACATAGAAAACTTTTTTTAAAATCAGATAAATACAGCTTTTGCTGATCACATAAGAAATCTTACTGACCTCAAACTTTTGAATCCCCAAATGTTTGTAGTTAGAAAATGGAAAACAAAACAAAAATACTGATTAAGAATTATTATTATTTTTCATAGCTTACTGGGAAAGGGACCTCAGCACCTCATTCCAGCATAGAAGCCTACAAAACTGTTTAGCATAGGAGACAAAAGTAGTAAATGTGCTCAAAGGATATCGACATTTTGTCAACAAACTTATCCTGCTTTTCATCAGTCTTGGGGAAGTTCTGGATGTCGTTCTCCAGTCTCTGAATATGCCGTTCCATTGTGTCCAGGCTGGCTTTCAGGATTTGGGCAGATACTGTTAAAGGCAGATAAACAAACAAACAAACAAACAATAGGTTATGGGTATGCTGATTAATTTGTGGCCAAAGAAAGAATTATAGTGTGATCCAAGACAAGGAACTTTTTTTTTTATTATTTGAAACAACTCTTGAGTCTATGAGTTCATGCTTAATTGGGCCAGTGTACAGTTGGGCTTTATTATATGTTATTTTATGTATTTATTAATTTATTTTAAGTGTCTCAGTTTTTTTTTTTTTCTCCTATACTGTGTAGGCGGTAGTTGCCTGCCTACTTCATACTGTTTGATGAACTCCAGTGCTCTTATTTAAAATTCAACATCTTGACAAGCATATTAAGCCCAGCACATAACTCAGCCCTCAGAAATCTTTGGCTGTGAAGTCTGTTAAACACTGCACTGAAGTTACTGTCAAAGGGTTTCTATATCAACTTTTAAACTCTGGAGATTTTGATCAGTGACAATATTACTTGAGGCAACGCATGCCACATTTAATACTGATAAATAATCATGCATGAAGCATATAGAAATAATGATTCAGGCAACTTCACCCATTTACACCATTATAAAGTATGTAGAATAAAAAAAAAAGAAGAATACAAGTAAAAATGCAGAATAAAATGCTATTATTGTTTGTTTTGTTTTTTTGGGCTGAGCAGAAAAAAATATTAGTCAACAGAAACTATCAACCACTAATTTTTGGAATGAGGAAAAAGCAGTGCGCACATAAGTTGATCTATGTATATTTAGATCTAATGTAATGAACTGGAGTCTGGATGATATTGTAGTGATACCAAATGAAAGAATAACAAATGCAGTAACTTGCAGAACTACAATGATAATACAATGATCTAATGTTGTAATACAGCAAATAATACATTAGTATAAAATTAACATATAATATCAATATTAAAATAATATATCATTTTCATAAAGCAAATACACATTTTGCCCTTGAATTATCATTTCAGTTAAAATAAATAAATACACACATTAATTAATTAATTTGAATATGCATATGATTCACAACCAACAACTTATTTAACTATAACTAATGCAGTTCATTTCCCTTTCTAATTATTCAAATGGACTTTCTGTCTTGTTTTTCTTATCACCCTGTACTCGAGCGTATATTGGCTGGTCTGTGTTGTAAATCTTGCAGGTGTGCTCAGGTGGACAGGTGCACTGAAGTGATGCTGGAGTTGCTGACTGCGGCTGCTGTCCGGAGGCTGAGTGGCGTCAGCATGGGTTCAGCTTCATTAATCTCTACATAATCACTGTTTACTGCTCTCCATCTCTCTCTGCACTCACTGTAGTCCTTTCAAGTCTGGACTTCAAAGCGCCAGCAGTGTCTTAGGGGGATCAGTAGGGATGCGGACGCAGTCATGGCGCCGTTTTGTGATTGGTGTATGGCTTTAGCTTTATTGATACACGGTACGAATGATCACGGCACAAGAAGGTCTGTCTGAGAGGGTCAAAGCTCTGACTCAGAGACATGAGAGGCTTTGTATGGGTCTTAGAGTGGACAAACATTCTTCAAGAGGGTTGACGTGAGGGCATTCTGAGTAAGCAACCCAGGTGCAGATTGCAGCTCATATAATAAGTACTTAATTATATCTAACACAGGGATGTCAAAAGTATCAACAGTTAAAAAAGAGGAAAACAATAATGTCACTAATAAATACACTGTATATACCATTTGTAGTAATAAGACTATCTATCTATCTATCCATCCATCCATCCATCCATGATGCTTTAAAATGATCAAAACTGACAGTAAAGACATGCATAATGTTAAAAATGTTTTCTATTTCAAACAAGTGCTGATCTTTAGAACTTTCTCTTTGTAAACGAATCCTGAAAACAGCATCATAATTTCAACAAAAAATATTATGCAGCTAACTGTTAACTGTTTCCAACATGATAATAAGAATAGTTTGTTGAGAAAAGAAAAGAAAAGAAAAGAAAAGAAAAGAAGAATGTAGTAATGGCTCCTGAAAATTCAGCTTTACAGTCACATGAATAAATCACATTTTAAAATATACTTAAAATAGAAAAACATATTTTACATTGTAATAATATTTCACAATATTCTTGTTTCTACTGCATTTTTCATCAAAAAAAAAAAAAACACTTGCCAACACCAAACTTTTGAACAGTATCATATAGTGCGCCTTACAATTTCTTTAAGTCTTGTTAGCTTAGCTTTGGGATTCAATCTCTGTTATTTCCCGAGGTCAGTGCTAATAACATCTGCTTTAACTTTTCCAACTCGACAATAAAGCCAAAATAGGAGGACACTGGGCAGTAGCTACAAATCTACTCAAAGCACTAACAACAATTTAAAGAGTAGACTCCGTGTCATTAGTAGCATGCTGGAGGAAACCCACAACTGGGGATTTACTGTCCCCTAATCAAGGCTCACAAAGCCGAGGTTAACACTCTGTCTGAGGACAGGCCTTGTGAGAGAACAGAAGCAAGAAAATCGAGTGAGAGGGCAAGGGCACAAGTTTAAGCTTTTTCAATGATGCTACAAGCTTGTCAGGCTGGTTTTAAAAGCTAAAACACTGTTGGTTTAAAATACTCTGATGGCATGTTGAAATGATTTTTATAAGGGTTGAGCGAGAGAATTGTGGGCAGACAGACGATGGAGATGGATAGGCATGATAGTGTGGTGTGTGCCTCTCTGGACCAGGTACTCGGGGAGCAGCAAGGGTGAGAAAAAGCCAGCTCTGAGTTCAGCTAATATAACAGCACTGACTTACTCATTTCACAGTCCTCGCCAC